AGGAGTAGGAGTAGGAGTAGTAGTAGTAGTTGTTGTTGTTGTAGAAGAAGTAGTAGTAATGGTAGTAGTAGTGGTGGTAGCAGTAGTAGCAGTAGTAGTAGTAGTAGTAGTAGCAGCAGTAGCGTAGCAGTAGTAGTAGTAGTAGTAGTAGTACCTTAGTAGTAGTGCGACTGGTCGCAGACATGCTGCAACATGCTCTAAACAAGGGGTATCGTTGTTGGTTTCAGCAAGGCCCTCCTGTAGACTAGTTTAGTGTTCGGAGACATTTGGGTTTCCCTCAAATGGGAGAAATCGATCGCGCAGTCTAATGCTAAGTTTCATCTTTCAAGCACCAATCAATCGAAACTCACTCTTCGACAGTTTCGCCCCAATGACACCCAAACTCCGTGCACGCAGGCTTGAGACATGATGTGGTTCAACTTTTGGGATCTCAGCGTCAGCCTCGACAGTGCGATTTCCGCAGCGCCACTTGGACAACCTGGATCAACTCCACAAGCACCTGCGAAGAGTGCTGCAGAATGCGCCGGCAGTATGGCTTTCCCTTACTTAAGAAAAAGAAAGCGAAATGCTTTCGCATTGGACGCTAGGTTGAAGCGACCTCCAGGAGAGTCCGGACCGTGACAAAGGGATTTCCCTTTGCTTGCTCCAAGCACAGAGGCAGAAACCTCGATCCGTTTCCGAACATCTCTCAGTACGAATGCAGATGCTGAGCAACGAACTAAGGCACGGGTCTGCCAAGTTGCTCAAACACGATGGCATTTGTCGTGATGCCGTTTGACACGAAATGCTTTGTCAGCATCCATCGCTCTTCATGACCTCCGTACGACTGCAATACTTCCAACGTTGCAGCTCCAGGCAGGGCCAAGCAGCTTAGCTGATGCCATGCATGCAGGATGTGGGAATAGTCCGCCTCGCCTCGCACGGTGGCCCACATGCTCATTTGCAGCCCATGGCACAAGGTCATCAACATCACGCGCAGAATCTTGCAACATGTCTGCCATGCTTGCTGAACAGTTCTGTTACTTCCAGGCTTCCGCGTGTCTTCAATCTGGACACACATGAGGCTGCTGCTCTGCACCCGGCACAGACACACCAAACGGCCCAGAGCGAGGTCTTCTGGTTGCCGTGCCTGCAAGCTCAAGAACAACATTGCTTTAGCACGGCACGAAGGGCAAGGGAAATGTTGTTGCTTCGGGGCTACATGGATTCGCCCGGTGCATAGCCGCTATGCTTCTAGCAAGGGGAATTGCTCGCGTCTTGGCATGCCGCGGGCCTCGAGCCCGAGCAACTGGCATCTTTCGTGGACATAGCTCCAGTACACCATCTTGGCATCCTGCCGGTACCCCAAGAGCCGACTCTGGCAATGCCAGTGCCAACGTTCACACGACTTCTCACGAACCGTGCCTGGTCTAGAATATGTTGCAGCGTGCTGAGCCCGAGAAGCGTTCCCCTCGCATTGTTGCGGTTCATGAAACGCGACCCGACTCCGCCCGCAAGGCCGCTGATGAAACCGAGCACATACAGCATGTAGACTTGCAGCAAGTCCTTGCAGGTCACCAGTGCATCTGGCGTATGCATGCATCGTTCCTAATTCTACTCGATCACGGCAGGTCCTGTGGATGATCTCTGCTTGCCAGGTGCTTTTGCAGCTGAAGTACATTGCCGGGGACATTCTCTGCTTGCCTTGTCCATTCAACACACTAATTTCCCCTGCATCGGCTGTTCCCTGAGCTAGCTAGACTCAGCTAGACCCTCCAGCGAGCAGGAATAGCAACCAAGCAGAGGTAATTAGTCAACGCAGAGCCGTTCTCACAAGAAGCCACAAGGCGTGAAAGATGATGTTCGAACCGGGACTGATCAGGTGCTTGCTACACCAGACTTACGCAGCAAAAGGGCAGCATCTGCACGAAGTTGAAGAGGGTTTCCAGCTCCAACACATCTCGCCTTGTGACTCGCAGGCTTGATCAGGCCATACTGTCACTAGATAGGCTTGTCTTTGCTTCAGTCATCGACAACATGCCGGCTGGTTGCGGTTAGCACCTAGCCACAACTTGACTAGACGCAAAGACTTGCCAAGAGGCAGAAGGAACTGTGCCCGTGCACTCAATCGTGCAGCTGTGGGCACAACGCTTGGGAAAAAGTCCAAGATGTGCAGCAAGGCCTTGGCTCTGCATCCCAGGAAGCGTCCAAATTTTCAAACTGGCCTGACAGGTGGATGGCAAGACAAGCAAGAAGCGTTGCCCCTCATTTTGTGAGGTGTTGCCTCTCTGCCTGTGGCATCAAACCAAAGCCCCACCAAAGCCCAGGCAGGTGCATCCTTTGCAGATGCCTTGCAAGTCTCGTCGATCGAATTTATGGCGATGGCCACCCGTTTGCTGCAATTGGGCAGATGCAGAAACCCGCTATCCAGCCCAGTGGAAATCGAAACGGGCCGTTTCACATGGATTGACCATAAATTTCTAGGTGCAGCTCCGTAGCAGCCTCCGGCTTCTGGCATTCTGGACCAAGTTGCCGTGAGACAGCCCTGGCATTCTCCGTACTCTGACTGCTTGCATTGAAACATCATACATCCCACAAGTTCAGCAAAAAAAAGCTGCCCCAGCCACAGGAAGAGGCACACGTGCCTGTACTTGCCGATAGCATGTGCAACGAGCAGGAAGAAAACTGCTTGAAGCTTGTCCTTCACTGGCCAATCATCGGAACACATGATTTGTTCACACAACTTGCGACTGATGCACCACGTTTGCAACAATGCTGGCAACTTCTGTTCAGAATGACTACGAGACCCGCATGTCCATGTTGCTCCAGAAGGTTGCGTTCATCTGTATGCCTTCTGTCTCAGATTTGGTCTTCTAGTCGCAATGGGTCCTGGTCGACAGACGTCCAGTTCAGGATGCTCTGCAACTGCTGCCACTGATCGCTTGTGATCCGACAGTCATCGCGCTGCGGGCGGGCATATGCCTTGCAGGAGCTGCAAAGTTTGCCTTTTGTCGAGCTCACGCTGCCGTGTTCTGCAGACTCGGAACCGAGCCTGGCCTCCAAGTCGCCACGCACCAATGCTGCAAGGCTTACACAGCTGCTTTCAACTCGCTGTTGCCCCCCATGGTGTCCGTGGGACTCCTCGAAGAGAATGTGTAAACCGTGGGATGGGTCCGACTCGATGTAGCTCCGATAGAGGTTGCTTAACCTTGGCGGGCCAATGCCAGACCAAACAAGAAGGCAGCATGCATGCCGAGGCGAGCGCAATGACTCTATGGGCTCATGCCCCAGAACATAATCCACGAAGTCGGCGGGGCTTCGCCTCCACTGCATCCGAAATTTGCCGACCGTACTGCGTGTACTTGCCAGTAAAATGCCTGGCTTCTGGCTGCGCGCTGTCAATCACGCGCACGAGGTCCAAGTTCTTTAAAAGCTTGTGAGTATGCAGCTGCATCTCAAGATATATCGGGTTTGCCTCTGCTGCCTTGGCCAGACAAACTTTGTTGATGCAAGGTTTCCTGGACTGCTTCGTCCGGCAAATGAGGTCTAAAGCCAGGTGAGCGGCAAGGACTGCGCAGTCCTTCTCTGCAGATACCACATCGCGATCAGGCTGCGTCATGGACAAAGAGTACTGCGACATATAGTCTTTCGCATAATCGATGAACATACTGGCACAGATAGGTGCATTCATCCTGGCACAAGCAAAAAGCAGCAAAGCTGGATGCACTGTACTCAGACCAGCCTAGCACCAGATGTGACGACGCTGGCTTCTGTCTTAAACTTAGGACGTCCGGCGACAGCATCTCGAAAGACACCGTGAGGCTCTCCCTACATATCGGCACGGCAGTCGACCCTCAAGGCTTTAATTACATCTTGCAGCATCTAGCTTTTTTCAGCGGCAACACCCAGCCCATAACATATGCAGGAGCATTCCTATTTGGAGACATCAATCATCCTCTCCGTTTCTTTCTGCCCGAGTGGAACGGACGATGGATTCTTCGGCAAACGTCATCCCAGAGACGGCCGTCCGAGTCACTGGGCAGCCTTCTCGTCTGACCTACTTTCATGAACATGGCCGCAGCCTGAGGAGACTGAGGCTTGAGAAGAGGGCCACGAAAGCTAGGGTAAGCGCAGCAGGGCAGGGGTCAAGCAAGTCTATCTATTGCCGCACAGCACTGCGAATCACTCGGGCGGAGGCTTGGTATAATAAAGCCCAAAGGAAAAAAATCCGACCAGCTTTCTGCCTCCGAGTGGGTGAAGGACACATTGCCAGTGATGCCCACCGTATATGACAAATGTTGACAGTTGTTTCGGTAATAAAAGAAGCAAAAGCTGGTTGAAACTAGTGCCATGTGGCTGCGGCATATGAGCCAATCATTTGGCGCGCGCGCGCCCCCATCCCCTCATGTTTAAGTAAAACCGCCAAACAAGCTCCCAAACGCGATGTTGCTCCGCTACCGAGGTGATTTGGTAAACGACAACTCCCTTAAGTTCCACAGAGCTAGCTTTCGTGACTTTGCCCGGCTGCAGCCTCGACTTCTGAAATTAATACGCCACAAGAGCAAATTAGGAAAGCCTACACAACATCAACCGCCCCTAACACATCAAGCCGGCACAAAGTAAGCTGCAGTATAGGATATGCTCATCATGTGCTCTGCACACGAGTGTGCGTGTGCGTGTGCAGGTGCTTATGCCTGTGTGTCTCACGGTTGTATCAAAGGCACAGAACCGAGACGAGCTGATTGGTGCTGAGGGTGAAGACTTCCGCGAAGCTCGTCGCCCGTAGAGTGCAATCATGCATCACCTGCAAATGGAACGCTGCAAACTCAAGACAATACAAGAAGAAAAGCCACGGCAAGGTCGTACGGGAATGCTGAGGCTCTCGCAGTATCAGCATAAAGTGCCACCTGCCATTCAGGCACGATGTCCATCGAAGACGTGTACCGATTGAAACCACGATGAGCAGATCGTCGAACTAAGCCGGCCTCGGCAAAGTGACGGACCTCGTTCTCGAAATACTGTAAATCTCCACTGTGGCCAACAACGGCGAAGGAGCCGTCGTTCGTTATGTACCTCAACTTGGTCGGTTGTTCGAAATCTTTGCAGGCCGTCCAAGGTAAGTCATGACAAGCTAAGTGCTGCACAGATATTCAGCCATCGAGCCGCTCGAAAATACAGCTTCGGCCTTTTGATCGAGAGCTTGAGTAAACACTGCACTATCCGAACAGCGCGGAACAACAAGCCATCAGCACATTACGCTGAGGTCCGTGTGCCCTGGTACGAAGGACGGGTCCGGAATGGCCTCGTGGTATAAGTTTTTCTGGACGACGCGGCAGATCTCTGCAAACACCTTCCTTGGCTGTCGCCACGCACATCCCGATTACCGGATGACTACCCAGATTGAAAACTCGAAGGCACCTTAGAAGCTGTCAGCATCTCGTCAAAAAACGGCAAGCATGAAGGAAGAGCTTGCGCTCGCATCCAGCACCGTTAGATGCTGCCCCCGTACTTCCACAAGGCGTGTCGGTAAAGCGCGTGCTTTCACGCGGCATCCTACAACATGCTACACTTGTCACGTCCCGGACACAGCACCTATACACGATGCAGCGGTTCTTCGCCGCACGCGCTAGGTTAGGTTTGTTCTCAACAGATCGCTCGCTCATGTCCGGAGCACATGGGGGGAAGAGCAGTCAAACTCCTTCCTGCATCGGAGCGTCGGAAAGACGCTTGAGGTCAGTTCTAAGTTGCGCAAAAGACCACATCAACGCAACCTCCACCACTGCTTTAGTTGCATGCGAGAAACCGAAGACCGGATGCTGTTCAAGGAGGTGCCGGTTTTGCCAAACCGACAGCTCAGCCTGAAGCTTCGGTGAAAATAGCCATGGGTCGTAGGACACCGAGGAATATCGAGCAAGCTTGTAGTCGGCAAAGCTCATGACTCGCATCACTAGCCTGAGTGTATGTTCAGTTCACAACGGCCAGCATTTCTAGGCTCAACCAAGTCTGCTTTGAATTCCATCCAAGGTGCTGGATAGGGGCCGACTGCGCATGCAGGTAGATTCGCAGCTCACGGCGCTTTCGATTCATCTCCTTCCGTGCAGCCAGCAAATAGCAAGCTCTCTTGATTCTGGCTTACCCCGCGACACCACAGCATCCGGAGATATCCTCGTTAATGCTGCGAATCTCCTGCAAGCAGCACACGGTGCTCGAATCGACTGGGACTCACTTGCAGCAAAGAGTTGACTTCGAATATCAGCCTTTTCAAGTGAGGGTGAGTGAACACCCCCCCCCCCCCTCCCAGTGGCTTGACCCTTAACATTGAACTGAACCTGGTTATCGTCTGATTTTCCTTATCGTTTTACAGGACTTTGGGACTGTATGATCTGAGCTAATGTTACGAACATTCGCTATCGTTATTGTTTACTCTTATCGTTTTACAGGGACTTCGACTGCTCTCAAAGTACGAGCGCATCTACTTTCAGCACTCACACTCGGACTTGCCTAGGCGAGGGTTCGTGGTACGGCGACGGCAGTCTGTGGCCAAAACAGAGCACATTAGCCCCGCACACATTAACGACCCCACGCGCATCTACTTTAAGAAATGCTCTAGGGGGTTTTAATCACTTCGGGTAAGTCAAGCAAGACTACATAACTCAGCAGAAGCGCTTGGACGACAGCACTTTGCAGCAAATGGGAGGCAGGACTGGAAAGGCAAATGGCATGGCTGCAACAAGACAATAGTGGCCAGCGTTGCTTGGCTTTGGTTTGGATCTGGCTCACGGAATTTTCACCTCAGCATGCACAGGTCAAGTGGCCGCCGAAACAATGCCAAGGGTGTCTGCTCCATGGGGATCGTGGACTTTTCCGCTGCGTTTGGTGGCCACTGGCTTGGGCTGGAATTGAGGTTTGCCGGTCTGTCCCTCAAGGCTTGGCCGAGTCCTGCAATGTACCCGTCAGCAGTGACAAGGCAGTTCCGATGACCAGGACCGTCACGACCTGTAGGATGTCTGCTCTTTCTCTCTGACAAGCCTGAAAAGGGCTGAAAGCCAGAAGCTCCAGCTGAGCAACGGTATTCACCAAGAGCATGAAGCGCTCCAAGCCGCTAGCCGGATCTAATGGCGCCTTGGGCTTCCGAAGCCCCAGGAGTCAGAGCCGCATTTTTCCTCTGCCAAGGTGCCGGAGATGGCGGTTGGATGATCCACTGCATGGCGTGGATGTATTGCACCAACGCCGGCTGCTCGTGGACATCGTTCCGTACAGTCCAGCTGGTCACCTGTGGCAGTATCTGCCGACACCGGCCACTCGAAACTTTAGCGGCTTTAGTCCGCAAGTACTTTCTGGCCGACAAAGCTTCAGGGAAGCTGCCACGTAAACATGGACACAAGCATATGATTTGTTCAACTCAGCCGTGAGTTGCAAGCAAGCCACACCCAAAGTTCAGACGAGTTTTGCGGGTGCACACGAGCCGAAGGTTAAACTGCAATCGAATGGTCTGCCCCCTACGGCCACAGGCACGATCGAATCTCGTCTCCCGGGGCTTCGCGCAAACATTGCCTGAGAGTCGGAGGAAACAGCTTCCCCCACTCCGAACCAGATGCATGCGAGGGCATGCACGACCATGGAGATTTCTATGAGCATCCTGCGCGGGTAGCAGGCCCAAACTGCAAAGCATGCAACAACGAAGCCAAACTGAGCGAACAACTTCATCCGTGTCAAAGTGTCCTCAAGATGCCAAATGCCATGATCAGCCATTGTCTCCCAATCGCAATCACCTGATCTCAGTGTCGCAGCATGGCGCCTACTTTATAAGTATCTGCTACGTTGCCACTCATAGCCTATGCTCAGGAGTTGGCCATGTTCTCGGCGAGCACATTCAGCCTGCTAGCTTTGACTATGCGTACTACTCGAAGTGCCCGAAGAACTCGCAGGATGCCTCAGAAGCGCTCAAGCTCGAAGCGGCCATGACCATTCTTGCTGGGGCCAAGCTGCGCGCAGTTCGAAAGGAGCTGACGTAATTGCCATTTTCTTCGCTTTGCGACTCCGACATGAATCCAAAGAAGTCCAGAGAGACGACGCCCCTTGGTGCACGTTAGATAGAAACGGTAAGAAGCACCGCTGCACCAGAACCTTCGGGCTGGAAATCGCACTTGGCCTCATCTTCTGCACGGGACTGTCTACTCTCTGGCCTTTTGGACACTTCCTGTCGCTTGCCCTGGCACGCTTGGAAAGGATATGCGCGACTCATTGCCAAAGCCTCGACCAAATGGACCAAGCAGCTAAACCATTGCCGAGGTGCACATCAAACAGCAGCCATGATGAGGCATAATTGCGAGCTATTTCCATCCGCCGGACCCGGAGAAGCCCCTGGCTGTAGAACGCAGTGTTGAAGTTCATGACGATGTCCTTCCAAGACAAAATCTCTAGAAGATGCGATCTGCGTTTACAGAGATGCTTGCTGCAGGCACCGATTGTCATCTAGACTGGAGTCCAGAGACCAGAAAATCAGCGACACCCACGCGAAAAGAGCAAGAGAGATGTCCTGAGATTGCATCGTGTGCCGACTACTGGTCACAGTGTCTGTCAGTCAGCGTCTGCTTGCAAACACACGGACACGCGAAAAAACAATCAAAGGTATCAGTATCAACAAGATTGCAGTGGTGAAGAGTGACGCCAGATCCCAGACTCGCTTTGTTCAAGATTCACATGTCATTAGAAGCCTCTAAACAGTCTCTCAAAGATCGAGAAACCCGCCCCAAGCGAAACCGAAGCTCACGAAAATTTGTTGCAACGTCGAGCTTCGCGACTGTTCGGAGTCACTTCCAGTTCCCACGCAATCGATACTGGCGACACGAACACGTCGATCAGAATGAGGATGGCACCAGAAAGATCCCAAAGCACTCGCGTTCTGGATTCTGGAGAGAATACCCTGCAGGTCCTGCTCTGGCAGAGAAATGACCTCAAATTGCCTGCACCAAAGCACTGCCAGCTCCCAGCTGCCAGGCCTGCAGTGCTGCACGTCTTCGAGCATCTTCGCCGCGGGCCGACTGATGGGGCGGCTCTTTGACTGTGCCTGCTTCGCGCTGCTTCGCGCTGCTTCGCTTCTTAGGCTGAAAAGACCGGAAAGTCGCCGCCCGGTCACAGACAAGGCACTACCTCCATGCTCTCCCTCATTTTCTGCCTGTCAATGTGGTTCAGAGCTCCATTGCTCTTCATGGAAAGCCTCGGCTGCGGTTGCGAGGGCAGATGCCAAGCCACTGGATAAAGGGACTTATTTGCAGACTTGCAGAGCCTCTCGCAAAGCCTGGCTTCATGCAGACGGCATGCTCCATGAGTAGGGGACTGAGTCGCAACTGCGGTTGATCAAGAGCTCCCTGGCGAACAAGCTGTGTGCCGCAAGGCTGGCTGATGCATCAAGATAATTTTCTTTTGAAACTCCCATCGTTCACTGACGGAGCGGGAGCGATCGCCTTCGTCGATTGGTGGAGGACAGATGCTTGCCGTCGCACGGGCTCGCCCGCGATTCGGCCGACCGGTTTTTCCGTATCAGACCGCTCACAAATAGAATCACAACCTGTCAGAGAGCCGAGCGAAACACTTGCAGAAGCTAAAAGCTGTTACAAGCTTGCAAAGCATAGATGAAGCTGCCAAGTTGCTGGAAATACATGTTTCCAGCAAGGAGGCAATGGGAAAGCGCTCGGTGGGCACATTCCAGTCGCTTAACTCGCGGCTTGGCTCCCGAAGCGACGCTACCTGCACGTCCTTCTGCAGGTCGTGCACCTACAGCTGCGATCCGTGATAGCCTTCTCTCGGGCTGTTTCTCTGCGAGGCTACTGGTCATAGGTATGGGCTCCGAGGATGACAACCATTGGATGTGTCTTTCAGCTTCCGGCTGCAAGCTTAGAAGGGCCTGACTGGCAAGCCGCTCAAAGACCTGCTGCAGTTCGACCTGCAGGAGAAGGATTGTATTCGTTTGGGAAGCTCCCCTCTCGAACCACCTCTCTTCGGAACTCTCATAGGGATTGCAGACCCGAGAACACCACGCTTGGGCGTCTCGTATTGTCACAGAGGGCCTAGAGTCCCAACACCAACCCCAGAAACACCCTGAGACTCACACGAAAATGGCATGAGTCTAAGAGCGCAGAACACTGTGGCAGGAGCATGACTGGCACCCTAAAACATGTTTGGGTATGTGGCGGGAGCGTGACTTTTGGAGGCAGCAACGAGTCACTGCGCTATGGCGGGAGAGCGACTTTTGGAGGTGCCCGCTTCGGTCTCACTGATTGCAGTGGCACACGTGTAAGTAAGCCAGAACCTCAAGGAAAATGCTGGCCTTGAGACTAAAAGCGTGTCAACATTTACTCGTCCTACGTGCTTGGGGAACTTACACCGTACGAGATGCGCGGTTGGGAAGGCATGACACATCGACGGCCAACCTTTAAGCAATATTTTACGGATTGTCGAACCAAACCGGACTCCATCACTGCATGTTGTTGAAGAAAAATGAAGAAGAATGTAAAGTCTTGCAATCAGCTTACCGCTGCAGCCTCAAAATCTGCTGCGAGAATCTAAAGTGGGCATTTCCCGGCAAAACACTTGACCAAGCTGCAAAAGATTAACGACTCGCGGGTCAAAAAGCGTGGACCTAACCAACCTGACTGCCTCGTGACCGTTGCGAGTCCAGTTCTGCTGAATTTCAGGGCGGAACGACTTCAGGCTGACAGAACCTGACCATCCGGCCACCTCCAAGTTCAGCAGACTCTGCAATATCGGGCGCTCCGGATTCTCCATGTTTACGCATCAACGACCTGCCGGTGCTCTTCTTCATCTCAACTTCTCGTGGCTGTTTGGACGGCTGTAAGGGAACATTTTCCAGGTTCTGACCTGCAGAGTTCTGGCTTTGCATATGTCCACCACTTCCTGCCTTTGAGCCTTGCAGGGCCAGATTGAGCGAGAGAAGACAACGAACCCAGGAGCAGGAAACCCTGCCGCAAGTGCATTTACAAGACGCATGCACCTTAGCAAAAAAACTTTAGAATGTGTGTGTGTGTGGTGCTGTGCCTGTCTGTGTCTATTTGTGTCTGTGTGTCTACGTATGTCTGTCTGTCTCTGTATCTCTGTCTGCCTCTGTGTCTCTGTCTGTCTCTGTGTTTGTCTGTCTCTTGCTGGCTTGCTTGCTCGCTCGCTCGCTTGCTCCCGGCCCTAGGGTCCCCGCTCTGTCTGTGTGTGTCTCTCTCTCCCTCTCTTTCTTTCGCCAGGGTCTCGCTCTCTCTCTCTTTTTCTCTCTTTCTTCGGGGATAAGGGAGAAGGGCGGTCTAGCCCCCC